GTATAGGAAATTTCTGCTTTAGCAGTCTGTCTATTTTCAGCTTCTATTTGACTCACACATTCTGTGTCAATATTAAGCTCTTAATAGAGTCTGCTTGAAGCTGAGAATTGAGAAGGACTGTTTTTACTAAATTCCAAGTTAATCTCAACATTTGGGTAAGAAACTGCTTTGGTTTGTTTTGTTTTAAATCAAGGAAGTTAAACTTGAAATCAAGTAAGTGTAATTTTTCTGGTTAGAACTCCCCTCCACTGAGGGGCTGAGAGGAGACCTCAGAGGAGGAGGGAAGTTCTCTCCTTGGTAGCAAGGAGAAACACCAAGTCCCTGTGACATTGACAGTACCTATGTGATCTGCTGCTCAGCAAACATATCAATCATTGCAGCACATGACTAGGAAAGGTTGACTGGGTTTTTGTGTGTCTTCCTTTAAAGATACACTTCAGAGTCCAATGTGATACTCTAAGTGCCAACATTTACTTTTCTTAGTTATTATTAGCATCTTTATGCTTGTAAACTCAGACTGTGTGATGGGAGAAAGAGGTAATCCTGTAGGACATCATAGTATACCAGAAACCAGAGAGCATTCTTCATTTCCTACATGCATTAAAATATAATCATATAAGATGTACTGCGTTTACACACTGCCAGTTTTAAGTTTTTCCCTACTTTTTCCCTGACATCCTAACCATTTTTGTTGCTAATTGGTAATAGTAGAGAGTAATTCTGACAACTGTGGTGGACTGTGATGGATAATGCTATGTGTCAGAGGGAAGCTTATCTCATTTCAGATAGGAAATGTAGGTGGCTTATTGCTCAGCAGAAGATAACTCAAAGGTTTTTTGAATTTTCTTATGAAGGTGTAGATAGAAAGCTGCAGCTGAAAGGGCTTAGTGTTTCCTCTGATCAGGCACAAGCAAAAGCCACTGAACATAAAAGCAGGTCACTCCTTACCCATCCTACTTGTGGATGTTGTGACACTCCAAAGGAAGGCACAGGCCCCGTGTGAGAGAGTGGTGGGCTGCAGCAAGCAGTGGATGGAGACAAAGGGTAAACCACCATCCACAGCATTGTGAGGTGTAGAAAAAAATTGCATGCATCTAATCCATCACATTTTGAGCTACATACAGTTTTAGGGTACTTCAAGTCATCTACCCCAGGAAATCTGCCAAGAAGGAGAGGAAAGGCTACGTTCTAGTCCATAATCCTCTGAGCATATACTGCAAAGTTTTACGTTGCTATTCTCACAAGTTATACTTCATATTCTCAGTAGGGTTTGTTAACTCTCAAACTGAATGGCAAGCTGGACCTCAGTGTCAAGGGGTCTGCCTGAGACTTTATCCACCATTTGGTATTTCAACAGTGAGGGCAAGCAGCACTCCAGCAGACATTCTAGATCTGGACTACATCTTTTAATGGCAACTTTTTGAAGGCATTTCAGCTTTTTTACTGCAGGAAAACATCCTCAAAAGTTTCCTGATTTACTATTCTGTCTTAAGAACAAAGAGAGAAATTTATAGAAGATCAAACAGATAAAAATAGACTGAAAAGACAGCAGATGCTGTTGATACACTGAAGAATTCAGAACCTTACATTTGGTGGCTATTTTGTTTGCTGATACCACAGTTTTAGTGTTAATAACATACACCAAAGCTGCACATATTATGAAGCTTTTATTATCTCTAGTTTCTTGTGACAAGTACAAAAAGCTCAATTTTGATTTGCTTGCTTGGTTTTGTCATCAGAAAAATTAATGATGATGTTGTCTGAGATTTACTCACTTCTCATTCATGTTCTTAGCTGTCAGATGGGAGATGGAAAAGAACAGTATGTATGAAACCTCTAGGTGTAATTCTTTAAGACTTGGCAAAACACAGGAGTGACCAAACACAAGTTACTTGCCCTAATGCATCTCTTCATGTGTGGAGTCAGAACTCTCAGCCAGCAGAATTAATACTTCATATTCTTTGCTACCAGTAAAAGCTCAAATAGCTAAATGACAAAAATAAATTCTGAATAGAGACTTGCCCCCTCTCTTTTTTTCCCTTCATTTTCCCACATTGTTTTCCTGAGCTGTTAGGGGTGAAAAAGGCTAAACACATTTTTAATTCTTTGTCTCTTAATTATTTTTATGAACTGTCTGAATAGGTTAGTAAAATATAACAAAAATTGCAACCTCCTCCCCAGAGAATGAGTACTGTAGTGCTCTTTTCCCGGGAAAGAGAAGTGGTTTGATCATCCATAAGGACAGATTTTACACTGGACACACAGATCTTAATTTGCTTGATTTCTCTTGCTCCATTAATTATTTCAGGGTAGATATTTGTAGTTGGTTTTTCTGACAAAGTGTGTCTAGAGTGATCACATCCTTTCTACATCCATCTCTTTGTAATGTGAACTTGCTGCCTATTTTCAACCAAATATAACTTAATGTTTCAAGATCCTAGAGACACTAAATTTATAGGTTTTTCATAAAGGCAGGTGATCAAAGAGAGGAAAGATGGATTGCTAGCTGTCCAACTTGAGGAAGTGAGCTCAGTCCTCATTGGGTGCTGGAGAATTTCCTCACATTTCCAGCTGGGGTGATCACCCCTGTCAGAAGCTGAGAGAGAATTGCACTGTCCTAATAGCTTCAGTACTAACCAGAAACATGATGATCATTTGAACATGAAAGTGGATTTTTTTGTTCCCTGTTGCCAGCAAACAGTGTGACCTAAACCTTCATTGCTAAGTGCAAGTCATCTCTTTTGGAGCTGAGATGTGTATCTGCCAGCACTTGCCCATCTACTTTAGAATCAACTCTCCTTCATTTAAGGCAACAGGAGCTTCAAACACCTAGACTGGCAAATAAGTAGATCCAAAGTGCCTGTTCTTATGTGGTTATACCCTCCCATGTGCTGCACTAGGTTTAGCTTAGTGTCAAGATGAATGAGAACCAGACTTCTCATAGGTACTTGTCCTACCTTTTGTAGTGCTGTCCCTTCCTCCTTCATTTCTTTCTTGATGCTTAGAAAAGGCTTTCCTACTAGTCTGTGTATGAGGCAGTAAATTATTAGTACTAAATTATTTTGACATATTAACAGGGCACTAGGGTCTATTAGGCCGAGTTAACCTCTCTGCCCATCAACCCCAGCAAGTGGAAAAAGGTGTTCCATCAGTCTAAATTACCTGCAGTATCCTTTGCTTGAAGACACGAATATTATTTCCTTTACTGTTTTTTCCTCAGGTGCAGTATCCTTTGCTTGAAGACACGAAAATTATTTCCTTTACTGATTTTCCTCAGCAAAGGAGAATTTCTCTCTCTCTCCCTCTGACCTCTGTAACATTTTTCCTTCTGAGAAGACAGAAAAAGCAGAAAATATCTCTGTGTAAGAAAGGAGAATTTCTCTCTCTCTCCCTCTGACCTCTGTAACATTTTTCCTTCTGAGAAGACAGAAAAAGCAGAAAATATCTCTGTTGTTTTTCTCCTCTCTTTCTGTCCTCTATGTGGCAGATACAGTAAAATAGTGACCCCATATTATATCCAATGCCAACGCCCAGTCAAATGGAATTAATTCTTTTCTTGAAAACCAACTCACAAAATAGAATTCAAATGGTCACACAGTTTTATGTCCCTGGAAGGACCAGGCATGGTGCACGTGTTGCTTCATGTGCTAAGCATCTTTTTGTTTCACTTTGGTATTTTTTAAGAAATGATAAGCTAACCCGGAACAGTTGTCTCTGATTCTCTAATGATCCTTAATATTGTAGAAAGAATATCTGTCATTTAATTTTGCTAACATATATTTTATCTCCGTGAAAATACTAATTAGTACTTTCTAGTAGCTGTGAGTTAGCTTCCTAGTGAAATTTTGTGTAAATAAAAAAGTAACGACTGGATTTAGGTACTGTGATTAAGCCATGAGTCAGCTTGTCACGCCTGGGAGAGGATCTTTTTTCAGTTATCTCTCACTCCACTCACCTGCAGCTTTGAGGAAGCATTGCCAATCAGTCTGTTAGCCAGGTGAGGCACCTGTACCACCAAGGCAATATGTGCCTTTGTGGTTCATCAGCCCCAGGACACACTCACCACAACGTACTGCTCTCTGCTCTATCCCAGGGAAGCTGATTTTCCTTAGCCAGCTGTTTGTGCTGCCCCTGAACACACAGAAACATGCTCTTCAGAATTCTGTTTGTCTGCATACAGGAGCTGCACGCTCTATTTAAACCCTTTTATTTTTACTTGACTCCATATGATCAAATAGATACAGGACGTGGCCTTCATACGCTACAAGAGAAAGGATTCATCGGAGCGTGAAGAAACGTCCTCGCTACGTCTCGTTAAAAAAGCGCGTTCGTGTGCGCACGCGTCGGTTATGCAACTGCCCTCCATGTGCAGTGCTGCTGCACACTGCTGGCCTGCCAGGCACCTCCTGGGGAAGCATGTGCACATCTTTACAGTCTCACTTGGAAGTTCAGTGTTACATTCATTGCAGGAACAGATTAGGTGGGTGAAGTTAAAAATGGAACGGAAGGTGCCTGCACGGCTTTCGGCATCTACTGATAGTGTTCGGGGACAAATAGGGTTGGCATCTTGTTGCTTTTGACTTAGATCTACAGATGTCATGGTTTTATTCATTTTCTGTGGCTCCTACAAGGCCAATCAAGTTGTGAGGTATGAATCCTTATCACTACATGCTCAGAATAAAACATAGCTGGATTAAATTTCTTGGATTCATTCAGTAAAATGGCATAATTTAACCCTTGTATAAAAGCTGAGAGCTGACACACCATCTTGTCTTATAACTCTAATCACAACTGGATTGTTTGTCTTCATAATGTGTGTGTTGAGATATCAGACCAGTAATTCACGTGTGAGGTTAAACACAGCTTCCCTTTGCCTTCATGCTCCCAGGGAAACAAAACTGTGTTATGCTTTAGCATAATTCACTCTTTGTGCAAAGCAAACATGGAATTCATGCAGGAAAGATATAGGGATATTTATTTCTCTGTTTTTCCTTCCACAGAATGATATCACGCCGTTGCACGTCGCATCAAAAAGGGGAAATGCAAACATGGTCAAACTCCTACTTGATCGAGGCGCTAAAATTGATGCCAAAACAAGGGTAAGCTCAAGTCTGAGTGCTGTGAGTGACTGTGTGGAATTATTGCCTCTGACCTGTTTGTTGCTGTAGAGCTTAAATCATTCATCTTCCTGGCAGGTTACTACAGCTGCATTGCATTTTTTATTTATGAAATGGGTGCAGGAGGATGCTAAGATTTCACATCTTCTAAAGCAGTGTGTGAAGCACTATGTACAGCAAAGCTCAGAAACAACCATTTTCCATGTTCTCTGTACAGTATTTAATTAGGAGCTGCTTCTGCCTACTTGGGGGTGGAGGTGAATGTATAGGAAAATACTAAAAGACAAGAATTCAATACAGATGGTTTCGAATTTGAATTCTAAAAGGGTAACTTTGAACTGCAGTGTGTGTTTGCATTTCATTATCCACAGGGCAGTGTCAGGGAGTGCAGTGTGGCTGATGAGCCTCATGCAGCTCAATCTCTCTGTGATTTGGTGCTTAGCTGCCAGCTGGGATTTGTCAGCAAATGTGTCAGGCATAGGGATGGTTTCCTTCAGGTTGACACCTAACTCTATCCCCTCAATGACTTAGAAACTCACTGCATATGCTTATATCTAATTGCTGTAGTTAAAACCCAATCAAACCAGTTTAGGGCTATTTTATTTACTTACACAGTGGCCAAAAAAAACCCCAAACCAAAAGCCAAAACAAACAGAGAGAAAGAAAAAGTTCAAATATTTGAAAGCAAACCTAGAACTAGTGGTGCTGTTGGCTGTAGTGGCAGCCTCTGCAACATGCTCCTGTGCATGTGAGGTAATCCTCAGGAGCCATCCCTGTGACTTGACAATTGTGATTTTCTTGAAATATTAGCTTATCACCTATCCACTTTCCATTTTTTTTATTATTCCATACAATTTCCACCGGAATAATTCTAAACAAAAGAAATTGTTAGCCTAAGAATTGGATTTCTTCTGCAGTTGTTACTGTATCCACAGGTTTCTGTTTGGTTTTCCAGTGTTTCAGCAGTTTCTGAGATTTCCTGCAGTGCTTGTTAGGCACATTCCTATTTTTTATTTCTGTGGCAAACTCAGAAACTGGGTCAGTTTATTTTGTCATCTCTTCAGTCTCTCTGTATGTTTTTCTTTAGGTCTTCTTTTGGTTTACCTTTAGTCAGTGCTGATTTATTTTTTAAAATGTTTCTGATTTTTCTGGTTGGGGGATATGGAAGAGATAGGTTTTCATGGATAATGTGGGAATAATTTCTGGACTGAAATACCAGCCTCCTATGTGCTGCACAGGGAGATAGGTTTTCATGGATAATGTGGGAATCATTTCTGGACTGAAATACCAGCCCCCTATGTGCTACACAGGGGCTGCCAGGCTGGGGGGCCTGAGCCTGCCATGTGGTGGGAAAGGGCACATTTTGGTGATGTGCCAGATGTGCATTTGGTCAGAGTGGGGAGAAAGACACTTGGCAGTGGACTATTTGCTTCCTCTCTGCAGGGCACTTTGTATAGCCTGCAGATTTGCAGATTTGCATATTTTTATGGCCCACTGCAGCCAAAACATTGGGGATCACTACTTTAAATAGTTGGAGCCCAGCTCGTTCTTTTCTTTTAGTTATGAAATGCTGTGATCTGCTTCATTTCCTGCATCACAGCCTCCAGGGTCAGACAGTAGGATAATTTATGTAACTAAAAATACAGGCTGGGACGGAAACAGGATCTAGGAAGAGGGCAGAAGCATTAACAGCTCCTGAGTCTGGAGCTGGCAGAGCTTCCCAGGGAGGCAAAAGGCAGTGGATAGCTGTGGTTCATGAAGTGATGGTTTGTTTTTTCTGGCTTCCCCCAGAGACTGCCTGTTTCCCCAAACACCTGTCCTCTCCATAAGTCAGAAGGGATTTGCATAACTTCTCCTGCTTGTGCTGTCCATGTGTCACTCATCATGGCACTCTCTGGCATTACCAGAGGCATCATTTTCTGGCAGTTAGTGAGGAAGTGGAAGTTTTGCTCCCAGCAGAACTGACTCATCCTGGCAAGGGTTTACCAGCCTGTGGTCTGGGTTGTGTGTGTCTCTGCTGAGGAGGCTCACTAAGCTGAGCAGAGAAAAGCAAACAGCATTGCTGGAGTAGATCAGGAGGGATTTACAAATCAATAGGAAAAGCAATAGAAGGCTGAGAGCAACGTGGTGCTGTATGAAAAAAGGGCATTGTTTCAGGAGTGTCTGCCTAGTTCTCATATTCCACAGCAAAGATTAATTGCTGTGAGCTGTTACAACATATGTTCCTGCTAAATCTCTCTTGTTATTCCTACCTGACTCAATGTTGTTTTCCAAGAATGAACAATTAAGATATGCCAACTTTGTAGTCCTTTCATTTTCTAAGCATCATTTTTCTTTTCAACGTCCCAGATATAGAATGACCTTACAAAAATACAGGATGACAAAAGCTTCAGTCATATCCTTTTGCAATAGCATCATCACTACCAAATGTATTGAAAGGCAAAGAGTAGCCAAGGCTGTCTGTCCTGATACTTGTGTCAAGTCAGGCTTATCATCTGGATGCTCAGGCAGAGCCCAGCCTGGTGTGCTCTGTGAGAGGCAGGTGCTGAATGCACAGACACTTGATAAACAGGTTGGATTTGCACGTGAAAATAAGTGAGGCTCCTATTACCAGATTTATAAATGTGAGACCTCTCTCTTTTTTTCCGATTGTTTTGGGGTTATTTTTTTAGGAGATGAGCAAAATTAAATTTTTTCTACGTAAGAGATGAGCAGATTTTTTTTTTCTGCTAAAATAGTTTGTCTTGGACACTATGGTATTATTTAGTGCAAATGATGATTATGGAAGTCTAAATACCTCCTTATATGTGAATGGCAAAGGTTTTGTACTCGTATGAAAGGACAAAAACATCTTGGAAATTGTTGGTTTCTATTGCTCAGGGGCAGAAATTCTTAGGCCTTTATTTCATGTCTGTAGTTCACCTTTAACTGAGTATACAGAACATACTGTTTTGTGTTGTTGACCAAACACTAACAGGGCCAAGATTTGCTACTCTGACTCTTAGATGGGATAGATTTAGCTATTCAGCTCTCATTTTGTGGCCTGTTCCTGCAAGCCATTCTCTGTATGGGATACTGGAATATGCTCCACATACTGTCTATATTTATTTTTCACAAACATCATAATTTTATGGATAAATTCACATAAAGCCTTTCCTGAGTAATAAGTTGAGGTAATGGTTTCTTTTCCTTAGTCATTTCCATGATCATTTGCATTTGCTGCTGACAGATGGTCTGGGAAACTGTAGTGCTGAAGTGCTGCACAAAAGGTTAACATGAAGGTCTAAATCCTTATCCTGTTTAAATTACTGTAAAAGTCATCCATGAGCTCCCACTTTCTCTGTTTTCATTAGGACTGGGTTTGATGAGCACTATAAATACTGTTGCACATGTGCAAACTCTTTTGAGATGATGAGCACTATAAATACTGTTGCACACGTGCAAACTGTAGTTAGGAGTTGAGGTAACGTGTGAGCATATGAGGTTATGTTTTGAGACTCAGACATTCCTTTTTATTTTTGGTTTTTTTTTTCGTTTTGCTTTTAGTACCATATGAGGTTATGTTTTGAGACTCAGATATTCCTTTTTTTTTGTTTTTTTTTTCGTTTTGCTTTTAGTATACACTTATGCTGCATTGTTTATTTTAACCAGCTGTTTATCTTCCCTCTTTCCTTTTTTGGTGTGTGGGATGTCTGGCAACTGGTACCTGAGGCTTGGTATTGAGTTCTTCAGGGTACTCCTCAAGAACTGTGTGCTGCCAGGGCAGCTTTAATCATTCTGGTTTTTAGCTAACATTCTGAGCAAAGACCTATTAATGCCTCATGTAACATGTTTATTGAATGTTGCCCTAATTATGCTTTCTCTGTCTTCCAGAAAAAGACTTGAAAAAAATAAAATTGAATTAGAGAGGTTGATTAAATTAGCTTGATTTGCTTTGCCTGTCTAATACTGTACATGCCAAAGTGAATTTGTGTCTGAAGCAGGCAGCAAGCAAGTTTTAGCCTGGATTAACAATAAGGGTTTATAATCTTCATTCTACTGATTTTGCAGCTAAGTAACAGGCCAGCACTCATATCTGTATGAAAACATGTGGGATATGCTCTTTGAAGATGCATCAGTTCATACATAAGCTGCTCTAGAAAAAACACACACATTAAGACATAAAATAACTACAGCAGCACTGCCTTGGCACTCTGAGTGCCTTTGCATGCGTAGGAAGAGCAAACTTCAGTTCTTGCCCTATTGCACAGAAGGGGCAGTTTGCAGCAGGGCTAATGAAGTGGAGAATTCAGGAGACTTGGAGCAGAGAGTGGCTGTGAGATACAGAGCCCTGTTAGGCTGAAGTGTGTGCCTGGAGAGTCACTAAGCAGTGCTGGGGATGATAAACCCTGGAGGCAGCAGGAGCAGCTCCCCTGGGGCAGTGTGACTCTGGCTCAGGGGAGAGGAGTGCCTGCTGCATTCTTGACAAGGCCTTGGACAGGCTCTGGGATTTGACTCAAACTCTGACAAGCTCTTGCTAAATATTTACATCCCAGTGAAGCTGTTACTGAGCACTGTGCTTAGTTTTATCGCTCGTACGTTGGGTTAGAAGCTGATGTGAGAGTTGTGGTACTGAGGCTACCATGGCTTTGGGGCACAGTCCAGAGGATGCCATGATGCAAGGGTAATCCTGCATGAGCATTGACAGGGAAGAGCTAGTTGGAGAGCACAGGGAGGCTGCTCTGTGCTTCCCCATGTTGCTCAAAGCCCCATGTGGTGGTGGGGAAACACACTCCAGCTGGGAGGCTCAACTGCTTGCACCAGGGTCTGCTCACCTCAAGCCAATTTTGCCCCCAGTGTCATGAGATTGGGGAGCTACACAGGTATCCAAGTCTCAACAGGGACCAGAGACAATGCTTAGATCTCATTTATTTGTGTGTGTTTGAAATAAAAGGTAAAGATGGCAGTTACCCCAGAGATGGGTGTGCAATGCTAATAGAAGCTTGTGCCTGAGCAGAACTCCTCCCTATTGTCCTCCTGGCTTGGCTGGAGCTGCTCTCAGGCTCTCTGGAGGGACTGATAATACAGATGATATGATTTATCATGTCAGCACATACTTAGAGAGTCCTTAATCTGCAGATTATTGTCATAATTGTTTGTAATGGTTTTTCTGAGCCATTGCAGACTATCATAATAAGGCAAGTTTGCTTCTTAATACATGTAATAT